CAGCTGAACTGTTAAAGGCTGGTGGTGAACCTATGGCGTGGGGATTGCATGCTGTCCTGGCTGCCATTTGGCAGTCCTGTACCGTTCCCTCTGACCTGTTGAGGGGTGTGGTCATCCCTCTCTGGAAGGGGAAGGGCGACCGATGGGATTGCAGCAATCACCGCGGCATCACACTGCTCAGTGTACCAGGCAAGGTTCTTGCCCGCATCCTTCTGAGGCATATCAGAGACCATCTATTAAGGCATCAGAGGCCAGAGCAATCCGGATTCACTCCTGGTAAGTCCACAATAAACCGTATCCTTGCGCTTCGAGTCATTGTAGAGCGTCGTTGTGAGTTCGGACGTGGGTTGCTTGCAGCCAACATCGACCTCAAGAAGGCGTTCAAAACAGTGCATCGGGAATCACTCTGGGAGATCCTGAGACTGAGAGGAATTCTAGCAAGGATTATTGAACTAATAGCAAACCTATATACTGGTACTGAAAGTGCTGTAAAGTGTGGTGGGGGCCTGTCGAGCTTCTTTCCTGTCAGTTCAGGAGTGAGGCAAGGCTGTGTTCTTGCACCAACCCTTTTCTATACTTGTATGGACTGGATACTAGGCAGAGCTACTGTTCAAAGTCATTGTGGAGCAACACTGGGTAATATTAAGGTTACAGACCTTGACTTTGCCGATGATGTTGCGATTCTATCTGAGTCTTTGGAAAACATAGTGGTGGCCCTCGATGCATTTAGTAATGAAGCAAAGCCCTTGGGTCTAGAGGTCTCCTGGACCAAGACCAAGATCCAGGACTTTGGGGACTTGCTAGGAGAACCTGTTCAGTTGGTACGTGCTTGCGGCGAGGACATTGAAGTCACAGAGAGCTTTACATACCTTGGTAGTGCAGTTCATAACTCTGGGCTGTCAGACCAGGAAGTCAGCAGACGGATTGGCCTGGCAGCATGAACTCTCTCAACAAGAGTATTTGGAGATGCCGGTACCTGTGCAGAAGGACCAAGCTACAGGTTTTCAGGGCCATGGTAATGCCAGTTTTGCTCTACAGTAGTGAAACCTGGACATTATCCAGTGCACTGGAGTCTCGTCTTGACGCCTTTTATAATAGGTCCTTGCGCTGGATCATGGGGTACTGTTGGCGGGACCATGTGTCTAACCAACAGCTGCACCGTGAGACTGGCACAGGACATATTACCTGCACAATCCGGGATCGCCAGCTTAGGCTATATGGCCACCTGGCTCGCTTTCCACAGGCTGATCCTGCTCATCAGGTTGTCTCTGTAAGAGACAACCCTGGGTGGAGGAGGCCTGTGGGACAACCTAGGAGGACGTGGCTTGGGCAGATCGATCAAACCTGTCGGGAAGAGCAAGTCCCCTGCCTGGGGACTTGCCATGTGGGATCCCAAAAGGTGGAAGGAGAAGGTGGACGCGGCTATGCGTCCCCGTTGGCGTTAGCTCCGGATGATGATGATGATATGATAACTCTGCTGCAGATTTTAGAATATAGTATATCCAGGCAGTGGTTTGTTTTATCACAGATTTCTTCCTTTACCCTCAATCTGATGTAGGTTTGATGTTTATCCAGGCAGGCCTTGCCTCCCTGTGGGACAACCTAGGAGGACGTGGCTTCAGATCGATCAAACCTGTGAATGGGGACTTGCCATGTGGGCAGGTTATGCGTCCCCGTTGGCGTTAGCTCCGGATGATGATGATGTTATGATGACTCTGCTGCAGATTTTAGAATATAGTATATCCAGGCAGTGGTTTGTTTTATCACAGATTTCTTCCTTTACCCTCAATCTGATGTAGGTTTGATGTTTGTTTTTCTGAATGCAGAAAAATAAGAAGTAGTGTGATACAAGTGTTTGTGAGAATACCATAGTATAAGGAAGGCTTTATACTCCAACCTATTATGGATAATAACTACTTTTAAGTTATAACAAAAGTGTCTTATTTTAGAAGACTTAGAATGACATTATGCAAAATTTATATTGAAATAATTCATGCTTTTAGGTATGTTGCTATGTAGAAATACTATATATGTTCTTTATTTCCCCACCAGATATACTGCAGTAATAAGAGGAACATGAAGAATTGAAGAAAAATCTTATCATTTGAAAAGTGAAGAAGTAATCACTAATAACACTGTTATATTATCAATATGAAAATGATTGAAGAAATATGAAAGTGCATTGATATTTAAGTTTGTGCTCATTTTTTCAATGTCAGCCACTGATCTAATCTCACCTTTTCAACTGCAGCAAATGCCTCTGAAAGAGCAGTTGTAGAGCATCCAAGAAATCTAAACTGTAATAAGGACAAGTGGACTTAAAGCATCCTAAAAACATGGGGAAACCTTTAGATGAAGAAAGTACCAACTTTTTGTGTGTTACTGCTGTTATGCTTAATGGTGGCAAGAAGGTGTTGTATAAGGTCTATATATGGGGATGTGCCAAACCATTGCATGTTCCTTTGAAAGAATACCTTTTATCCAAAGGTATGACAAGTAAAATGTACAAAACTCGCTTTCATAGTACACAGAGGGAAAAGATTGAAGGTGATCCTAGTGGAGCATCCTATGACATTTCATTACTCTACCAATGCATCCGGGCAGCATGCAGTAATGTTGCAGTGGAGGAGGATGTATGGACCAAGCCAAGTGATACTCTGGAGTATTTTATCTATCAGATTAAAGATCAGAGGAATTCTCTTGCTCATGGCACAACTACTGATATAGATGTGCAGGAAATGATCAGCAAGATTGAAGGTTTAAGGCTCTTATTTCTGAAGACATTACAGTTGGCAAGCAAAAGATTCAATGTTAATCATTCTGAAGTTACCTCGATAGAGAATGAACTGAACAAAGTGATCAACAGAATCCGGGATAAGTCTGACCGATTCACAAAGGCATTAGCAACTCAGAGAAAAGAACTCAGAAAAATTTTGGTTACTGAAGGTAGGAAAGAATTGAGGTAAAGAGGAGGGAACAATAATTCAGCAATTATTTTTTTTACATTAGAGCTCAGAAAAATTTTGGTTACTGAAGGTAGGAAAGAATTGAGGGAACATTATAATTCTTACACGGAAGTGGATCCTAGTTTTTTATTATGGAAAAATAAGAGACCTAAAGTCACCTCAGTTTTTACAAAGCTTGAGCTAGTTCAAGATTCTGCTGATAGTATTAGAGAAGAACCAAGATTAGAGAATCTTTTAGAGTTAAAAAAGAATGGAGAAATTCCACAAGTCATCATTCTAGAAGGAGTAGCTGGTTCTGGAAAGAGCACTGTTACCTCACTCCTCCTTGCTGATTGGTGTACAGAGGGTGGAAAGATTAGCTGCCTTCAAGATTTTGAGCTTTTGCTTCATTTTCAGTGTCGCAATCCCCATGTTTCAGGTTTCTTAGGCCTATTATTACTCCTTTTCCAAAAGACTTCTGGACGAATGAAAGAAGAAGACTTGATAAGATCAGTGCTAATGTCTAAAGTGCTTTTTGTCATTGATGGTTTAGATGAAGCAAATAATGCATCCCTGAAACTTCTCAGAGAGATATTACAGAAGCACATCATAGAGAGGAATCCTAACATTAGATTGTTATGTACAACTAGACCCCAGAGTGTAGAGCAGTTTCATCGATTGCTTCCTGAGGAAACTTCAGTAATTCACTTGAAAATTGTTGGTATCCCTGTAGAAGAACAGTCTAAATTTATTGCCAGATACCATGAACAGTTGAAATGTGGAGAAAACAGTCAACAGGATCTCAAAGAACTTTTGAATTATATTCAATCCACATCACAGATTTCAGAACATTTTCGGCTCCCACTAAATCTAGTGTTCTTGACATACCTTTGGATGTTCTCAGCAGAGACATTTGGTCAGTTACGTTCAGCTACAAATCTTTACATGGAGATTTTGCAGCTGACAAAGAAGAAGCTTATAGCTAGACTTCAGTCTAATCTACAGTACATTGATCCTGAGGAAATTACAATTAAGTGTGAACATTTTCTTGAAATGATGTATCAGGAAAGTCTTCTGGCATTGTGTCAGAATTCAATCCTCCTAAGCACTGTGAGCACTGAAGTCCTCAAGAATAAATGCAAAAGCTTAAGATTGCCTTCAACTGAAGTTTTATCAGGATTTTTTACCATTTCAAAGTCTTGGACAGGTAAAATTTATAGAGAAGAGTTTTCCTTTCCACATAAAGGACTACAGGATTTTTATGCAGCACAGGCAATAATTGCTGTAATTACTCAAAAGGAAGACAAGGATTTATTGGAGAATGTGAGAAATGGAATTATAAAAGTTCTTGCAAAAATAACATTTCATCAAAAATATCATCAGAAATAGTGTCTGCATCAGAGAATATTTTGATTACATCAATATCAAAACCAAAACAAATTTTGTCCATCTTGGAAGACCTTCACAGGGATGATCCTTTGTCTCTACAGATAAACAAATATCAGAATGTTCTCATTCATTTGATAGGACTGCTAAAAAATGATGGAGAAAATACATTGCAAAAACATGCAAAAGAATTAGTTGGCTTATTAAACAAATCTGGAGTGAAGGATTCTGAGCAGTGGTTGGACATTTTAGCAGAGGCAGACTGTGCCCCAGTAATAATGGAAGAAGTAGTTCAGTTCATGCCTACACACAGATGGAGTGTTCGAGATGGACACCTGAAAAGTGCACTGGTGCTATTTCCAAACGTCCCAGTCAGACAAGTTGATTTCTTGATTGAGAAAAACCCTAATTCTGTTCCCTACTTGAAAGAAATGCTTCAGCAGGTTGCTTCTACCAATTGCGAAATCCAGTTGAACTTGCACTATCAGTGGCAGCACCCAGAAGCAGAAACATCAGATGAGATTCTTGAATATATAAAACCTCTTCCAAGTCAATCAGGGTATGTATGATTTTTATGTGTGAGATATCTTGAAGGTTTACTGAAATCCAAACTAATTTTATTTTAATTTCCCTGTTTTATCCCTCCCAAAACCTAGCTCGTTCTCGTCGTGGGAGGGCTTAGGAGACAGGGACTGAGACCCAATGTAGAGGATTACCCCTACCTTGGGCCTCAGCCCTTGCCTCAACTAATTTTGCTTGATCCTTTCTTCTCTTCTTTCCTCTTCTGTATCTTCTTTACTCCCTTCTATCCTATTCCTAAGGTGTGAGGGCCGTGCTGAAAGGATGAAAGGCTGGCTTTTTGTCAGTCACGAACGGCCTCCGGGAGCCATGGGCACAGTATTCCCATGGTTAATTACTTAGCCCTTACCCCTTATGGGGTCCATAAGGGGTAGACCATTTCTTTTCCTCAGTTTATTCAGGCTCACCATGGCCATTAATGAAGATTCCTTACTCTTGATAGAGGCATTTAGGCTTGCGCCTTCATCAAATAGCCTATCTGAATTTGATTTTGATGGTTTTCCGACCCCTGCCCCTCCTTTGACCACGGCTCCGACCACTGATGCAAATACCCCCTCTTCGACGCTTACGAACAACTCTAACCATTCTGAAAAAAACATTCAGGTTATTACTCAACACCTGGAAAATACCTTTTCCTCATCCCCAATATTCTCCTCTTCATCCCCTACTGCATGACCCTCTTCAATGTCAACCCCCTCTTCCCTCATTACTACTCTTCATCCTTATTGTCCTCCCCCCTGCAGAACTACTCCACTCCACACCACCCCATCTTCCTCTCGCCCTCGTCCTTCTACTACCTCTACCTCTGCAAACCTTCTGGGTACTCTATTTGGCCCAGCCAAGTGGGATCGATTCTTTATGATTCCCCCCTCAGCCTCCTATTCTGAGAATACCCTTCTCTTGCAGCAGTGCCTCCAGAAACAAGTAGTCAAGGTTACCTTTTGCAGTCACTTTGATCGTTCATGCCTTGTCACGGTTACATCTGAAGCTCAAGCTCGTGCACTATCTGCCCTAACTGACCTTACTGGAAAACCCATTCCTGCCAAACCTCACCCAACTCTTAATACTTGTACTGGAACTGTTTCTATTCCCCCAAATGCTTGTGCCATGTATAACAAGGACTGCTCAGACTGTGAAAATGAGCTACTTTCTTGCCTTGATGAATATGATGCAGTAGCAGTACAGTGTTACACTCTTCCTCCTAGAGGCTAACATAAATCTCATGTCAATATTGCCAAGATTAGCTTCCATAGACAAGACCTCCCCCATGAGGTTTATATTGGTGGACTGTCTTATCATGTCTGACAAAATCAAGCCGTTCCTCGTCAATGTCAAAAATGTTGGCATTTTGGCCACCCAGCCAAACATTGTCGCTCCACAGCCCGATGCCCTTTATGTGCCCAACCTGGTCATGTCTGTTCAAATTGCCCTGCTCAGTCACATACATGTGCCAATTTTTGAGACTCCCATAATGTGTTTTATAGGAGCTGCCCTGCCTATAAGTTTGAATGTGAGGTAGCAGTCCTGTCTGGCCTCACTCTATGAGAGGCCAGACAGGAAGCACGACGATGAGGTTTTTCTCTCTCAACTTATTCCAAAACAGTCCTGCGCTCAGCTCCCTCACCATCTACACAAGATATTTCTGCATCCCCCCAGGTATCTTTTCCCAATACCCAAAACCTATGTCCTATCTCTACTCACCCTATCCACCAGTCAAATCCATTTTCCATCCTAAATCCAGATACTCCAATCTCTACCACTTCCTGGATACCTACCCCTCCTCCTCACTTTAGTTGTTATACCAGACAACCTAAACGTTCCACTCCACACTCTCCTACTACACTCTCTCTCACACCTTCCTCTTCATCTGTTCCTCAGATATCCATCTCCTCTTCTACTCCTTAAAAGAGAACCTTTGTTTCTCAGTCCTCTATATCAAATTCCCCTTCAGAAACCCTTGAAGACATCCGAAACTTCCTAAAGATGACCCAAGGGAGCACTCCGCTCCCTCATCCACCCCCCAGTCCCTCTGTTCCTACTCCTGCTACATTTAAAGTATTTGCAGATATTCATCCTCCTCCTTCCCAAGTTCCCTCCACCCCCCATCCTCCTACACCCTCCCAACATACCCCACCCTCTCTACCACTTGAATACTCACACGAATCCTCTCTATCACAACAGTGTCCTTCTCCAGACCCCTTCTCTCCAAACATTTTTCCTCGTGCTTCACCACCTTCCCCAGTCTCTCTTTCTCAACCCCTGGATTCTTCTCCTAGTTATCCAACAGCCACCTCTGTTTTCCTTGATCAGTGTTCCCTAGTCACAGATACACTGCAATTCACTCAATTGCTCTGCCCCCTTATGTTCCCCCAACCCCATCCCAAGATGCCTCATCCTCTCAACCACCCAAACTGCCCATACCACCCAAACTGAACCTCCCCCCTAAACCCCATCCTTCCCTACTATCCCTCCCACTCCCTCCTGGATATACACGTGAATCTCTTTTATCACAATATCCTTCCCCAGACCCCACTGTCCCTATCGAACCCCCAGACACTACTCCTTCACCTATTCCTGATCTTTTGTATCAACCCCCTGATACCTAATCCCCTACTACTAATACAACTATATATAACATTATCACCTATTATCCCTATTTCTTCCCCAGTCACAGATACAGTACAATTCATTTAATCGATCTACCTCCTTAACCTTTCCCATTTATTAATCACTGCTCTAGTTCATTTACTTCCCTCCTTTCCCCTTTTCATTACCATACTTTCCTGTAACACCTTCTAATCTTTGATATTTAACACCATCCCCTCTCCCCAGATTTTTCTCTTACTCTTCAACAGCTATCTCTATTCTTCCTTGAACATTTTTCCTATACATTCTCCAGTGACAGATACACTATAATTCACTCAGTTGCCCTACCCTCCCCTTTATACTAACTGCTCTAGCTCACTTGCTCCCCTATCCCCCTTTTCACTACCATATTATCCTATAACGTTCTTAAACCTTTGACATCTAACACATTTTATCATAATCTATAACTCTTCTTTGCCCTTTCCGACTCAATACTTTACCATAGTGCTATATGACCTTAGATGTCTAGCACATTTATTTTCAAACATTGAACATTCCCAGTTTTATTCATTTATTGAAAATATTATGTGCATGATCATGATTTTGAATAAATGACACGAATAAGAGAAATTTTTGAAAGTTCTTTAGCAGCTTGATGAATAGTTCCTGCATGGGCAAACATAGTTTCCAAATCAATCCAAGGCAGGTACAGGAGAATATGACATCATAAGTGGAGAAACCACAGGCAAACCATGAAAATGACTGTGCTTATTGTCAAAGTAAAATGCCCTATACTGAGTCCCAACCTCAACTTCCCTGTAATCCTCTGGACACAGAACAAAAATTTACCCTCTGGCAAGCACATTTGTGTGGATATGAGTCTGTAGTTTCTTATTTATGATTTCATCAACACTCATCCCAACACCCAATGGGATTTGTGGATGAGGTCTGTGATAATAAGTCACAAAATGCACTTAATTGGTACAGAAAATGGGAAATTTGTGTACTGCCATGAGGGTGACATCAGCATCACTATATCAGAAAAGTTGACCACCTTTGATAAACTTTACAGGTCAGTTTCATCCACACGCATTTCCTAATTTTAATCATAGAATGGAAGTGCACTTATTTGTCAGTTGAAACCATTTACTATATTGACTGTAATGAAGTTAAGAAATGTATTGCATGTAGCTAAAGAAGTGAATTGCAGTAAGTAGTATTTTGAGAAATTGTATTTGGATATCAAAAATAAGGAAGAATGAAGCCATGAGGAGAAAGGCAGTGAAGGAAGGGAAGAAGGATGAAGGGGAAAAAATCTGTTATTGAGAGTGGTATTTTCTCTATTTTAGGTTCATATAATTGCAACAGTAGAGCTTTCAGAAAAATCTTAAGTATAGCCTATAGGCTTTTCTATATAAATCAAATAATGAATCCAAGTAAAAAGAAATGATGGGCAAGATATCGAAGTAAGTTCTGAGAAATTCTTAGATAAAATGTTTTATGGTATTAAGGGGACCGTCCCGGAGAATGGCCACCTTTCCCTACTCTTTACTTCATACAAAAATATCAGTTAGAGATAACTGATTGATTCTTTTTGCATTATATAGAGTATAGAATTGCACTCCGTTATATATATAATTTTAACCTTGCTCCCCCATGGGGGGGGCACCCCCAAAATTTTTTTTTTTTTTTTTTTTTTTTTTTTTTTTTTTTTTTTTTTTTTTTTTTTTTTTTTTTTTTTTTTTTAGGTGGGGGACAGCTTGACATAGAGAACTATTTTTTATTTATTTTTTTAGCATTAAAATATTATGTTTTGATTAAGGCAAAAATTCAAAAATCGGCCATTTACACGGCCTTGGGACACCGAGGCTCAAGTGAAAGCATTTAGTAGGCCTACATTGACTTTGATATCTAAATAATAAGATATATTAGTTATCCCTCTCATACCATTTTCTTTGATAATTGTCAATATTATCAGATTGTAAAGGAGAACAAGTGTAGAGTTTATGATTAGCCATTTGCACCCATTATCTATACTAAGAAGTGCATAAAATCATACAGACTACTAGGTGTTGTGGGATATTTGCCAATTTATGGTACCTAAGATTTACGGTAACGTCTAAACATATTCATTTTTATCGGGAACGCATGAAACGGGTGCGATAGCTTTTTGAACGCCAGACGAAAACTACACATACAAGCGAGCTCAAAATTCAATATAGTTTTTATTTCAGAGCAGATATTACTGGGTACTATCATCTTCAACATGAAATAACCTGTATCTCGCTTATACATCCGAAGTTAAAAAATCTGACATTTAGGTAACATTCGTATTGAATTGGTCTTTACAACGGTAACTACCAATTTCAAATCAATTCAAATTGCCCCCTGCTGTGATGTATCAACCGTTGAGCGAAATGTAACGGAAATATTTCAGTCCTTCCTTTTAAGGCTATTTTTAAACAATAGTGCTTCGTATGTGATATACGTACATATTACTTCGTAAACTAAAACATATTACCAGGGAGTCTTGATCGAAGCATATTTCGTGTGTAGAAGGACACAAAACTTACATTTTTTTTTTTTTTTTTAGATATATTTCACAAAATATTTCATCATAAATCACGGTGATATAATTTTTTTCTGATATTGGTATAAAAGTGTTCCTTGAACATTCACGAACTCATATCTATGCGTAATGTCATAATTAAATGCCGGATGCACGATTGCCGCAAGCAAAAGTCCACATAGGTGTACCTGGGCACTCATTAGCGACGTACCTCTCCGGGTGCTGAGGGACTCTCGCTTCGGCTGCAAGACAACAAGCCATAGCAGGCGCTTAATACTCGTTTGGTAGTTTCCTCATCCATGTACCTATACTATACGCTAGCTAACTCAATTTGACCCCCTTCCCCCCCTCCATCTGGGACGGTCCCCTTAAGGCATAACCACAAAAGGAGCAGAACATACTTAAAATTTAAAATCTTTCTTTTATTTGAAACTTCTCCCTGCCCATGCCAATTTTTGTGTGTGTGGGGGGGGGGGCTAGGAGTTGGAGACTGAGGTCCAATGTAGGGTTTCTCTCCTGTCTTGGGCCTCATCCCTCGCCCCAAACATTTATGCACAGTTTTCCATTCTCCCCCTTTTCTTTTCTTTCTTTTGTCCATATCCTAAGATATGAGAGCCATGTTGAAACGATAGAAGGCTTTGGGTCACTCCTGAGCAGCTTCAGGGAGCCATGGGCACAGTATTCTAGCCCTTATCCTATATGGGGACCCTAAAAAGTGAACCATTTCTCATCCCCACACACTCCAAGCACACCATGGCCGATAATTAAAATATACCTTTAGTAGGGGCATTGTGGCTTACACCTTAATCATCTAGCCCCACAGACATTAAAGGGAAGGTCCAGTCTCAACCCACATGTTCATGAATAACTATACATTAAAGCATAAAGAATCAACATCAGGTCAAATTTTTTGAAAGGTAATTATGATTCAGCCAAAAATTTGGTGTTATGTATTCCCCGCTCCTGTTGTCTGATAAATAATTGACATCAGCACCACCAAGCGTGCATGACTTACCACAATGTATGTGACTGTGAGCGATCCAGGCAATGCGCAATGCGAGTAGGCTACACAACAACAAACATATCTGTATCAAACAAAGAATCCTCTGACTTTTTGGACTATAGCGCCTGCAAATATATATAATATATATAATATATATATATTATATATGTATATAATATATATATATATATATATATATATATATATAATATATATATATATATATATATATATATATATATAATATATATATATATATATATATATATATATATATATATATATATATATATATATATAATATATATATATATATATATATATATATATATATATATATAATATATATATATATATATATATATATATATAATATATATATATACATATATATATATACTATATATATATATATA